GGCAGGGTAACGATAGCGGTGTCGCTTGATATCGCCAATGCGTTCAATACCCTGCCCTGGGACAGTATTATGACGGGACTCGAGCACCATCACGTTCCCCTATACCTACGTCGAATTATTTCCTGCTATCTGCGGGACAGGCAGATCGTGTTCCCCACGCAAAATGGCTGGGAAAGGTACAACATCTCGTGTGGAGTTCCACAGGGGTCGGTCCTAGGCCCACTCCTGTGGAACATTGGCTACAACACCGTGCTGCGGGGATCGTTCGTCCGTGGAGTCCAACTTGTTTGTTACGCGGACGACACGCTCGTCGTAGCCACAGGATCGGACTTTAGGGAGGCAAAGCTGCGGGCCACTGCCGGGGCCTCACACGTCTCGGCAAAAATCCGCAGCTTGGGCCTGAGGGTCGCCCTCGAGAAATCGGAGGCGATCTGCTTCTATGGCAACAGGAGAGCGCCCCAATCGGGGCTAGAAATCATAGTCGGGGGTGCTTCAATTCCCATACGCACGACCATTAAATATCTCGGTCTCACCCTCGACTCGAAGTGGAGTTTTCAACCGCACTTCGCGGATTTAGCCCCGAGGCTGGATGCCACAGCTGCGGCTTTAAGCCGCCTTCTTCCAAATGTCGGTGGCCCGAGTTCGAAGCGCCGCCTCTTATTCGCGGGAGTCCTGAGGTCGAAGGCCCTATACGGCTGTCCGGTTTGGGCTGACGACCTCTGCGCCCAGAATAGAGCAATACTCCGACGATCACAGCGTGCCGTGGCGATCAGGGTCGCGAGGGCATACCGCACGGTGTCACATGATGCCGGGTGTGTCATCGCGGGCCTATTGCCATGGCACCTAGACGCAGCTGCCCTAGCGGCTGTCTACTGGCGTAGAGCTGGTAGGCGAGAAGAGGGCGAAGAGCCAACTATTGAGGAGACAAAAGCCTGGAGAGTCCGCGCCCAAAATAGGGCAATGGACAAGTGGAAGGATGAGTTGGGGTCGTCCAGATCCGGGTCGTGGACGGTGGATGCGATCCGCCCGAGACTGCAGGACTGGACGAACAGGCGGTGGGGGCACCTCTCCTACCGGCTGGTGCAGATGCTGTCGGGCCATGGTTGCTTTGGCAAGTATCTGCACCAAATTGCCGGTAGGGAACCTACACCTAGGTGCCACCACTGTCCTGAGGTCAGCGACACTGTCGCACACACTCTATTTGACTGTCCGGCATGGGAAGCCGAGAGGCGACCCATCGCCAATATTACCGGATTAGACGCGTCAACACTCGCGGAGGTCATCTCCAAGATCCTTCAGTCCGAGGACGCGTGGAAGGCATTCCACGAGTTCTCGGAGCGAGTGTTGACAACCAAGGAGAATGCCGAGAGGGAGCGTGAGGCCGATCCGGAATCCGCCCCTCTCCGGCGAAGAAGAAGAGCAGGTCGGCGCCGGCGTGAATTTATCCGTCAGGCGTAGACCCTTGTATATAGAAATTTGCACTTGTATATATTTAAGTCATTTATTATATTTATTTTATTTTAATTTATTTCCCTATTTAATCTGTTTTGTTTTGCCTTTGTTTCTGTTTTGTTTTGTTTTATATTTGTTTTGTTTTGTTTTGTTTGTTTGTTGATTATTATTCCTCCTTTCGTTTTAAGTTTTTGTATATAGGTGCTAGTTCCTAAGATACAATTAAGGTGTAAATAACATTTAAGGAGAGTCGCACGGAT